TGTAAGTCTCCAGGTTTCTGCTCCGTAGCTAAGTACCGGCAAGATACAGCTGTTATATACCTTCCTCTTGAGGGATAGTGGCAATCTACCTGTCATAATTTGACAGGTAGATTGCCGAATGTGCTCCACCCCATTCTTATTCTTCTAGTTACTTCAATCTCGTGGTTAGGCTCTGCGGTTATTACCTGCCCTAAGTAGACATAGTCGTTTACAACTTCAAGTGCACTATTACCTATCTCGAAGCGCTGCTCTTTTCCGAGGTTGTTGTACATTACTTTCGTTTTCTGCAGATTAATTTTAAGACCCACCTTTTTGCTCTCCTTGTCTAACTCCGTAATCATCAGTTGCAATTCGTCCCCTGAGTTACTCAGCAATGCAATGTCATCAGCAAAGCGCAAGTTACTAAGATATTCTCCATTAACTCTTATCCCTACCTGTTCCCATTCTAGGCTTCTGAAAACCTCCTGTAAGCACGCGGTAAATAGCATTGGGGAGATTGTGTCCCCCTGCCTTACACCCTTCTTGATTGGTATTCTGTTGCTTTCTTTATGAAGCACTATGGTAGCAGTTGATCCTCTGTAGATTTCTTCCAGAAATGTACAGGGGATCTGGAGAAATCCAGGTCAAGTTCTTTATCGCAGTTTGTCGTATCAGAGGTCAAAGCACGAAGCGATGAGATGGTAGCGCGTAGAAGGGTGCACAAGCCATTGCCGGATGCGTGCCGATGTATGCGCGTGCCAGCGCCCGTGTCTGCGCCGTTATAGTAGAAGTTCACAGTTGCGGCTCGAATCAAGCAGCCCCTCTACCACGGCGTTCCTTCCTACTCCTTCGTACGCCGCCTCACACCCGGAGTGATGTGATCGCATGCACCCTTCTTGTGACGCAGATGAGTAGTTTCTTTTAACGGGGCTTCATGTACGTCCTTCGTTAACTATCGCTTGTACTGGCCGGTGCAAGATACGATGCACGTACACAAGTTATCGATTTTTTTGCCTTTACGGAACGTGATGGTGACGATGAGAACTTGCACACAATGTCGATATAATTGTTGTCTGAATTCAAATATATATAAAAACCGTAGAAGTGCGGAAACCCTTTTCCTCTAAAGCTGCATTCTTCTCGTTATTGAGGGTTAGTCCGTTGGAAGAAGCGAATAATATGCAACCTCTTTCTTCGGTTTCATTTAGGCCAACACTGAGATTCTTAAGGACGATATCGGCTCGCACCAACTTCTTCAATAAGCCATTCGTATAATGTTAGCGCTCTGCATTGAGTCTGTCCCGATTTTGACTACAGTCTTTTTCTCCACTTGTCTATTCGGAAACTCACAAAATGAGCAAAATTCGTTTATTGGGCACAACGATCGAGAAAAGTGAGAAAAAAACGCGTCAGTTTATTGGGCACAACGCTCGAGCAAGTTGAGAAAAAACGCGTCAATTTATTGAGCACAACGATGGAGCAAGGTGAGAAAAAACGCGTAGGGGAGTCCATTGTAAAGCAGGGTATAAGAAGAAATTCACAACTTTTTTTCTTATATGACAAATCGAGAGTATGTGCTCTAATCAAGTCACGTGAATCACCATGTTAGCGTGACGAAAAGCGCCAGATAGACGATAAATGCCAAAAGAGTACAACACGTTTGAATTGTATTTTCAGAAGCTGCATTGGTGCCCTTATAAAGACAGGGTGTTCACGAAACAGGCACAAAAGAGCTGTAAAGACACTGTCAAACGCCGCTAAGTTTAAACTGTACAGGAGAGCAAAAGACACTAGAAAAAGAGAAACAGAATTAAGGCAAATTTAAAGTAAGAGTGCCAAATATGAAGACAGCGGAGCACTGGTCAGCCCTTGTTTCACTTCAGTATTCTCTTCAATGCCTGAGTGCCCTCTTTCTATTTCTGTTTACATTATTTATGCCTTTTGCTGTTTCTTTTTTCCACTTTCTATTTTTTCATCTCTTTCTCTTTCTTGCTCATTCTAATTTTCGTCCAATTTTTATCTTTATATTTGCATTTTACTTACTTTCATTTTTGTATTTTTATACGCGGTTTACACTTGTGTTACAGCAGCTCACGACTGCACATCACAGCACGGGCTTCTAAAGCGTGCCGAAAGTTTCTAGTCAAGGCGCTCGAACAAAAATAAGACGTTCTCGGCGAGAGCACGTGCTCGATATGCTACAGGAACGTTAATATTGTTCATATCTGTTATTATTACAATTTTCTCTCTTTTAGCAAACACTGTATAAAAAATTTACATTAAAGCTAAAGTGTGGCCTATCCCCCTTGTCGATATGAGCCAAGATCTTCTAGGCGACAAGACAAGACTATGCTATAAATGGTTTTGCTTGAGCTTCGCCAAGCTACAACACTGTAGAGTCGTCAGCAAGCTTAACACGAACGTTCAAACGCGCGTGACCTGGACTAGTGTCACTCATGTCTGCCGCAAAGCACTGAGCACTGTTGCCGAGATAATACCTCGACATGCTTGGATAGTGTCTCGGCATACATGAGTAACAGCCGGGCAACAGAACCCAAAGGTGCGTGACGCTAGCGTCAATCAAACTGTTTCAGGACATGCCCCGGAGCATTTGTGTTAAGCTTTCTGGCGACTGTACGGTGGCAGCGTACGGTAGGCAAGGCCCGAAATGTGCTCCTCACTTCAAATACTCATTCACGCATTCCCAGGGAAGAGGGGATACTTGTCAGTAGGTTGAACGTGACGGTCTACGTAAGACATGATTTATTACTCACTTCCCTTTTGTGGCTGTGTTTTCAGGTCTTGTAGTTAAGGAATGATACCTGTCAGGTAGTTGAGCCATCAGTTATCCGAAGTTTTTTTATCGCCCTACGTTCTCTATTCATTCATTGAATTACTCAAGTAAAAATTTGTAAAATTATAGAAAAAAACGACATTACCATACAGATATATATTAATAATCTGTTATTTATCTATGCACCAGGTAATAGATCCAGCACTCCATAAATATGACATGCAGTAAATTCTCTCATCGCCCTTTAGCAAGGGTGGAGGGTACCGCAGCGTCGAGGTCAGGAATTCAAGATAATCTCGTGAGACTTTTGGAGTAAAGATAAAAGATAAGAAATCATCATGGTAGAAGTGAGCGCTGTTTAAGAACTCTCCACTCGTTCTGAAGCTTCCTTTGTTCACTCAGCTTCACGAGCAATCGAGCAGGGTGAGCCAAAATAGAGAGATGTGACAACGAACACCAGCACTGTCTGTGTATATTGAAAGATTTTCTTTTATTCACCTAGTCCCTTCTCTCTTTTTTTTTTGGAGGGTGGGGGTACAGGAAGAAACACTTGTCGTGCGAACTCCCAAGTACGTGCACTTTAACATTTGGCGATTCATAACTTTGAATGTTCTTTTGTTCTTTTTGTCCACTTTATCTTTTGGGAACGTTACGCTCCAGATATCAATGAAATACACTTTAGTTTTTTTTCGTTTACTCATCTCTTCTCTCTCGCTGAGCTTGAAGAGATTTTATATAAACGCACGTCGAAGCCTAGGAAATTTCGTCCTAATGAATACTGATGTCTGATGGAAATGTCGAGCATTAAACAATTTTTGAGAGTCGCACAACTTTCTCAAAGTTGTCTATGGCAAACCGAAGAGAGACGTTTTAGATGTGAACCAGCTCTTTGACTCACTTGTGCAACGCCGTACGCACGTACGTCGGACGTACGAACCTCAATGTGTTCCCCTCGCCACAGGTGTTGGAGCGGTGCCAAGTAGGTCACACCGCAGCTGTGGGTTGACGTCACACGCCTTTCACATGCTTCCCTCGCATGTGCACGCTGACGTCGCTCTCTACCTCAACCGCAGCAAGCTCGCCGCTGTGCCCGCGGCAGTCGGCTCCTCCACCCGCTCGCATACACTTCTCCCTCGCTTCACACACTTCACCAACGCTATACTGCATTTCGAGATGAAGCACTTTTCTGGATCGATTGTCTGCGAAGAAACACACATGAAACGCAACCCGCCTTCCTCGTCTTTGAGCTTCCAATGAACAATTACTCGAGTAAACGTTACACCGAGTTTCGCTTCGAACGGTTCTTCCACCACCCGCGTCGACGCCCGTTGCAACCACATCACCGCCCGCTTGCGCACCACTGCTTCCCAGCGCATAGAATAATCCATAATATATATATATATATAAATATATATATATATATATATATATATATATATAATATATATAATATATATATATATATATATATATATTTATATATATATGTGTGTGTGTGTGTGTGTGTGTGTGTGTGGAATATATATATGCTAAGCAAAAAAGTGTATCTGTCTGTATCTAACAGACAATTTTGCCCAGGAAATAATAGGGGAAGGTATTAGAGCAAATCGTAACATAAACGTGATGACAGACAAATGGGTGAAGAGAGACCTTGCCGTGGGCTGGAACCGAAGCTGCGACCTTCGAGTAACGCGTTCGATGCTCTACCACTCAGCTACCACGACGGCTCTCCCCCAGCGACTTCAATACGTAAATATGTGCATTAATCATGGAATTATCAGTCAGCGCCACCAGATATATATATATATATATATATATATGCATATGTGTGTCGGTTTACGGAACATCACAGTGACGGGAGAACACCGCGAGATTTCTCCGTATGCCAATTAAAGGTTTCCATATTGCAAGAGGAACCCGTATAAATACACATTGTATAAATACAATGAAATACCGTTGTTAGACAAGCAGTCATCGCCTGGGCATTGCAAAGTATGGCTGTCGGGTTCGTTCTGTTAAATATGAAAAGAAAGTATCACTGTTCTGTGAAAACCTAATAATTTGAGTGTTCGGGAAAGAAATTTTGTCAGAAATACACATGTCATTGTAGTGCTTATTCCAATGTGCGGTTTTTGTAGCATCTATCAAACTTAGTACAAGTATTTACCAAGTGGGTATCATGCATGCTCACTGGTACAAAAAAAAGTGCGGAATGAAATTTTCTTACCAAGCATTTCAGGAGCACCTACGTACGCTGAGACGTCAATCAAGCGAGATCTGGAAAAAAATATGTTTTCCAACAATAAACACCAAAACAAGATTCATTCGTCCATCGTAGCCATAGATAAAACAAAAAAGTAAAACGTGTCCTTGTTAAAGTAGTTTAAGGTTTACCGCACATTGATATAGAACAACTTTCGCAATGACTGTTCCTCTTTAACAGCTTTAGCAGCGCCTAACATGGTCGCACCCCCGTTGACGCTTAGTCATACATTTTTATCCCAGTGACCAACGTCAATTATTATCGATTAAAATTCGGCAGGACCCCGTACCTTGGAAATCGGCGTTAAGCGAAGAATGCGGGTGGAAGGTGACTGTTTGGTATTTTTTTATTGAGCGAGACGTTTCGAAATGGTGCTAACTAAAGCTTGCTAAAGGGCGATGAGCACCCTTGCTAAAAAATGCCAACATATCCATGGGGTGAATGATGAAGAGTGGGGCGAAGCATCCGTATGTCCATTCGTTCTCGCTTCCGTCAGTCCATGCGTCTGTCTGTGTGACCGTCCTGCAACCATCAGCCCGTCCATGCGTGCGTCTGTTCGTGCGTCCGCACGCCGATCCATGCGTCCGTCCCCGCGTTCGTCCATTCATCCACCCCTGCGTCATTCCATGCGTCCATCCGTCCGTGCACCCATACGTCCGTCCATGCATCTGTGTGTGTGTCCATTTGTCCATCTAGTCTACATTCCAAGTGCCACCATCTCGCATTTTTTCATCATATATTCCACATATAGAAGCACAGCCATCCAGCGGACATTCCAAGGACTAAACGAGAGGTGGCACACGCACACCTTCTTACGGCTTGCGCTTCGTGTCTACTTCCCACCTTTAACCACCTCGAGTTCGTGGTATGTACTAGTTCACTGTATTATGGGCACTGCGGCCCAACGCTCGCTAAACCTTTTAAAACCAAGGAGGTTACGCCCAGCGTGTATGACGCAGCAACACTTTCTTATCAGAGAGTGCTCAATGTACATGCCAATGGCTGCTAATGAAAAATGAGAGGCAGGAGAAATGGGCTTTTAATTAACGCGCACGCGGCGAGTTTTCTATTGTTCAACAACGCGCGGGAGAAATCTCCCACCTGTACCACCTTGCAGGTCGAATCGTAAAACATGTTACGTACTACGACGAGGGACGAACGAGTGCCGCTGTAACGAGCTTCGCGCCTAAAACTGTAAGACGCAGCTCTATGCAGTTGTGCACTGGATAGTTGTGCATTGGAAGTGACTGAAAGGCTATCTCTTTCATACCTAACTTCGGAGCGGCCCGTTTCGGGCTAGGAAACTGGCCCGACCAATTGGACATTATTAAAGTTCTTTCATCTATCTAACCATTCATTACGATGCTTTTCGTAATCATATTGTTTTTAGTTTGCGCTTGTCGTGTGTGTACACAGCGCTCATTTTTGTGCAGCCTTTTTAGTGTTTGAGTAGCACACTTTATTTCTCGAGCTGAGGAACTTGTTAGTTTGCTCTCAACCAGTGTCCATGTTTTTCACGGAACCTTTTTGAGGATAAAGCTGCAAATTTAAAGCTGGTTGCTGTTCTTTGCCTGACAGTACAATTAGGTGCTATGGCATTCATTATTCTGGCCATGTTTTGAAACAATGCACAATAAACGCTCAACTGTGTCAGTGAAGGCACGTTGCACTTTGGTGTTTTACAGATTGCTATGACAGGGGGTTCAGCCATAGTTTTTTTGATAAGAGCTTATCAGTAATTCTTTTTCTCCCTTTCGTCACTTCTCTCAGTCTCTGTGCTGTGTCTCGCGTCCATCTGAGTGGGCGCGTCTCACATTAGTAAAATTGACGCACGTACGTATTTCGATACCGAAGCAGAAGGCGAACCTAAGGATGAAGAAAGTGCGTACAAGTTGATAATGATGCACACTTGTGTTCACGCATCACGGAGCAACGGGTATCATAAACATCTTCACAGTTGAAGTAATACCTTGTATCCGTTCACCAATGGTATGCATCAGGCACTTATTGAAACGGCAAAAGTGACAGGCACCCAGGCAGTTTATACAGCAGAAGGGAGAGTTGAGCTACAGTTGGTTGTTCATTGGAGGAGAAAGCAAAAGACGGAGCACAAAGAACGACTTGAACACGCGAGCGCTCACCGAAAAGTGGTTGCTTTATTCAACTGAAAGAAAAAAATAGCCAGACAAAAAAAACATGCACGCTCGGCCTATGCACCTGACAAAAGATAAGGCATGTATTATCATAACGTCTTATAAAAATACGTCAGCTTGCAATCAAGTAACTCAATCGACAGAGCGCTGACACACGTGTCGGGACTTTTGCAGAAAGATTCAGCTATTTTGGTTGCGAGTATCCATGTGCAAATGAACGGTGGTTATGCGGCAGACTTCTGAAGTGGAACCGCAGGAGGCTCAGTGGGAAGACATATGGGAGAGCTGCGCAATTTTTAAAAAGCGATGATACTTCGTCTGTCGCGCTGTTATAATATGAGTCATTTTTTGGCGTGCGGCAAGTACACCGTCTATTTTTTATAAAAGGGAACATGCAAGCGCTTGGCCTGCGCGTGCCGGGGGCTACCTGCGGTGCGTTTCTGAGAGTGAAATCAAGCACAGCCTTTTTCACGTCATCTGGTGGCGAAAAAAGGTACCAGTTACCAGTTATATGGAACCTGCAACAAGGTTGCAACCCCCTTCATAACGACCGCTTGGAAGAGAGGTTGGGCGTGGCCTCTTGCATTATCGCTTGGGCTGCTTGCAGCATGCCGGCGCCTCCACCAGCCTCCTGATAGAGACCAAATGCAACGGTTAGGGGTGCTGCTGCTGCTGATGATGATTTGAGGCTGATCCTTTTGTATCGGGCGGGCCAGATCATCCAGAGTAAAAAAAACACTTACAAAGTAAACAAACAAAACACTCCACAGGCGTACACACTCACATCTGCACACCTTCAATTTTGTCCACATAAATCATTACCACTGCGTCGTGCGCCACCACTGGACCAGCCTTGTTTTGGTGGTGCGTACTGCCGCATAGTTCACTGTACCAGCCACTTCATCGCCTGTGGTGGCCCCGGGTCATGTTTGTGAACAAACCCCAGAGCCTCGGGCAATGTGGCACCCTTTCGTTGGTGTGGGCTCAAACACGTACAGCGTAGAACTAGATGGGGGATGGTTTCTTCTTTCCGCCCGCACACCCGGCACATCGCACTCTTGTCATCGGTATTCTAATCGAATCGGCGACGGTACACGAGGGTTCGTAGTGCCCCAGCCCGCGCTTCGAACAGAAGGCCACTACCGTCATTGTTTTTGTACATGCACTCCATCTCTATTTCAATGTTGTAACTTCGATATACCGTCAAGGTTGCCTTGGAACGCATCACCCTCCGTCACTGCTCATTCTCTTCCTCCCGTACCTGTTCTTGGACGGCACGACCCATCCGCACTCTGTGATTGCCTTCACAGGTTTCGCGATGAAACCAAACTTTCGGCGCAGGGTGTACACCCGCGCAGTCCACTGGATTGTTATTACAGTCAGGCTGGTCTATCGGAACAAGCGTCTTGCCCACTTGTTGTCATTCATGAGACGCAGGCGGCCCTCGTAGGCTATCTTGCTCCTGGCTTCTCGGGCCTCATACAAAGACCATCCAACGTCTCCTTGAATGGCCTCTATCGTTCTAGCCACTGTCTGGTTCCTGGTTGGAAGGTTTGTACACCATTGGCAAATGACAAGCATGGGACATGCACACACTTCCACATATCCGAAACCAGCATCGGTTACAGCCCGAAAGACTTCGTTTGCGCATGACGTTCGCCGCTTTGCGTGATTTTTTGCGGATGTTTTCCTCATGAATGTTTAGGGCTTGTCCTGTGTACTGAGTTAGACACCGAGGTATCTGTACTCTTCGTTCCACGAAATCTGCCCACTCTCCGGCCGCAACACTGCCGCAGTTATATCTGTGCCTGCAAACAGCAGCACCGCTGATTTTTTGGCATTGAAGCAGAGTCCAAGTTTGCTTAGATGATTTGCCGATAATGAAACGAGGTGCTGCAGGTCACCCAGACTGTCAGCCATCAGGACAATATCATCCGCGTATACCAGGCCTGGAAGCCTCCAGGACACTGGTGCTCCGCCGTATGAGCGGGGAAGAGAGAATCCACCTTCATCTGTCAGCAGCGCCCTCTCGAGGCTGGCCGTATACAGCATATACAGCAGCGGCCACAATGGACATCCCTGTTTGAGACCCCGCTTTACAGTCACTGGTTCGGCTTGGGTTTCGGCAAAACACGCCACCACTGTATTGTCTGTGTACAGCCGTCGCAGCAGACTAACCCATGTCCTCGGCATGCCAATCTGCGTCATGCAGTGAAACAAACGTCCATGCTGTACGCTATAATATGCCTTCGCGACGTCGAGAAAACAAGTGTACAGTCCTCTGTTCTCCTTTCGTGCTATGTCGATGGCCTGGGTGAGCACAAATACATTGTCCTCGAGGCGCCGTCCGCTGCGAAAACCATTCTGCAGCTCCGTCAATTTGTTGTGTTCTGCCCAGCCGCCACTCGACGTCTTTAAGATTTGTGCGAAAGTTCGGTATAGCTGGATGGATGGATGGATGGATGGATGGATGGATGTGGCTGTACCCTTTAGATCGGGTGGCGGCTAACGCCACCTAGCCGTAATACTTAGTGAAATAACCATTACATTTATATTTTTTTTCCTTTAAATAATGAAGTTGAGGGTTCGTACTTCGCAGTGAAGGGTTTAATTTTCACTCGTGCCTTGACTTTAGCCACCAATCAGATAACCTCCTTCTAGTTAAGTCTACCCGCTTAAAGTCTATTTTGCCCTCGATGTCCCTAAATCCCAGTGCTTTGAAAAACTCTGCGCCATCATCCTGAACTATAGGGTGAAGCCCTTTACAGAACATTATCAAGTCTTCGGCAGTTTCTTCTTCCTCTCCACACGCACTGCATACTGTGTCGACCCCTTCGTATTTGGCCCGATATGTCTTGGTT